ATATATATTTTATATTCAGATTCAATACAATGAATTAAAAACAGAAAGCACAGATAAATTTATTAAACTTATTCCCTATAACAATTTAATTTTACTTAAATGTCTGAATATCATGTTGTTCCTTCGTAAATAAACACCGCATCCAACATCAATTGTGCGAGATGATAATTAGAATGTGTTTCGGGCAAATGTCTTGAAATTCGTCGTATTAATTCAATACTGTCATCATTTGAACAATTCGTATAAATTATATCCGGCACATCCTAAAAATAGTAATCTCATTTGATACTAAAACTTAATAAGAATAAAGCATTTGAAATAAATTGATATACTATGTAAAACTTACAAGACTTTCTAAATATTTAGTAAGAGCGGGACTTATGCGAGAAACTTCCTCTAAGAGATCAGGCGATTTCGAAAGATATGCCATCATTCTTCTTCCAGCAATCGGCAAAAGATTTTCTGCTAATTTTTCAACATCATTTACGGCAGTAACAACCTGTATTACAATATCAAATGTATATTTCTTATTTCGCGGAATTAAATATATTAAATTGTATTATTTATGTAATTATTTATACTTACTTCTTCTGCTAAACGATCAAAACCAATCATATATAATTGACAAACTTGATGTATTCTTAGTTCATCATTATTAATTTTCCAAACAGATGCTAACGTTTGACATCTGCTCATCCATTGAATAGCTTGCATTGAACTACTCATTTTACCATCCGTTGTTTCTTGATGAATAAAATCCATTGATGCATTAATTACTCGGCATAAAAATATGGTTCTTACATTATCTCTTTTATCGTCTCTATACCATGTGAGCATTACTTTGTCCGCCATTGATTGAAAGAAATATGGCTGCACCTACATATTTAGAATATGTAATATTTAAGATTATATATGAATCTAAATTTTTTAGGACAATTTTTTATTTACTTACCACAGAGTCAAATAAATTATTTAACGGTTTTACAAGTTTCAAATTAAAATGCGCCATCATGTATAAGACATTGGCTAATTGTAAATGTAACATAATTAGATCATACCAAGCGGATGCTTGAGAAATAGCTAATGCAGCAAATGGTTGTGGACCAGAAGTGCATCCTTCCCATAGTTCCTCTGACTTAAATACAATATTCTCTCCTACTTCAAGTATTTCAGACTAGTGATATAAAATATATTTATTGCTTGAATTAGCCTCGTGTTATACAAAATATCGATCCATAGAAAACTTACATCAATGAAAATTTCTAAAAATGTAACACTATTTTGTAAAAATACAACTGCTTGAATATCAGATAAACCGATTTCCTGTGTACATAATCTTTCTTTTGGTAGTTTGCCAAGCTTATTAATTAATTTTGCAATTGCTTCCATTCGCTTTTTTATATGAACTGACCATAATAAACAACATACACCTAACGAGATAATAATATTTCATACATTACCAAATAAAAAAAATACACAATATTTAATATTAATTTAATTTTCAGAATCCTCTCTTACCGTGCCTCATACGTTTCATTGGTATCAGTCGTAAAACAAATAATGCAGCTTCAAGAGACTGCAATTGTGAAATATCTTTATTCCATGACATTGCAAATTCCCAACAAATATTAGCTAGTAGGACACTAGTCGTTAAACTATATGGAAAATGATTTTTTAATGTTTTAATTCTTTCTGAAAATTAAAAAGGAAAACATATAATACAATTTAATGAGTAAGAGATGACTGATAAATATGAATGTTAAGATACAAATGTTTGTTTACCTAAAATACATGAAATAGTAGCATTTGTACTGTCTTTGTCTTCACTTTTTGCATCGAGAGTTTCGGAAAAAGGCTTTTCTAAATTAGGTTGTGAAATATCATTGACATTACAAATTTCGTCTGAAGAATTTGCTATTTCTAAAGAATCACTTGTTGGTCGTATGTGATCGAATTCCGTATCTGTTGTATCTATTAATTGAGACGGATCGATACCGGTAGAAGTAATCCATTTTGCAACTATCTCTGATACAGAACCTGTTATTGTAATGTTATTGTATGTAACGATATAAGATAAAAAGATATGTTCTTTGACAGTACTATAATATATAACCACAATAGAACAATACCTTTTCCTTTTGAGAGAACAGATCCTAAAGATATATCAAATTTTACAAATGGTAATGCAAAAAATTGCATTGTAGTATCTGATGGAAGTTGTTGACTGAAATTAAAATTTTATAAGAATTCTGTTCATTATGAATAAATTTTATTATTAATTACCTTACAATAGCATCTAAAATTGTAATATCCTCAAGATTTCCAATAAGTAATGTAAATTGACAAGTATCTTTAGTAATATTTTCCCATTCATTTGTTAAATTATACATTTCATCATCTGATTTTGAATTGTTTGCAGAATCTTGACGTTTTTCCTCTTTCAAATCATTTTTATTTTCAACATCTTTTTCTTCCTGATCATTATTGTCCTCAGTTTTATTACTATACTTTTCTTTGTACCTTTCTATAGACATAGCAACAGCTCTGCACATCAAAGCAGCAGTAAGTGCATTAAATGGATTTGTTGAGTCCAAGAGAATATTACGAACCTTTTTCCACCATAAAGATATTTCATTATATTCTGCACATATTTCTTCAACATCTATAAGTAATAAAATTTATGTTATAATGACAAAAGTAAAATTTAAATTTATTAAAATTCAGAACTTACTGGCCATTGAACAAATAGCATTTAAGAGTTGTGTAAATTGTTTTAATTCTACTTCTAAACACATATCTCGTTTCTTATTAAGCCAGTAAATTAAAGCAAATTTCATAAAAACGAATGGTTGAATATTACTATTCTTAGCAGCATCTTTCCATTTCTCAATTCTATCATACGAATGTATACAACCTTCGTACATTAATTCAGCTAAAAACATGAAAAAGAACATCATCAATTATCAAGAGAATATTAATTACACATATACATATAAAATACATATTTCTAAGGTAACATATCAAAATACTTACAGATGTAATGTTCCTTTTCTGCTTTTATATTTTTTTTAATATCTATAAATCCTGATGTTCCAAATTCAAAACAAGATAAAAAATCTAAAAATATTCTTCCATTTTCTACAAATTTTACTTTACATTCTGTCTTAGAATCTGAACGCGTGTAACTATTTACTTTATTAAACAATTCAAAAATTCTATGCACTTCTTTTTCATTAGTTAGTAAAGTTGAAGCTAAACTTTTATTATCATCTATAGAAGCATTATGCTCTGGTGTATCAAACTGAGATTTAATATGTTTATAAAAATTAATTATTTGTTGCAACTGCGTTGCTAATAAATAAAGTATTTTTGTTGTAGGTTCCATTTCTTCTTTTTCTATGATATAAAATTTATATATTTTTATTTCAAATAATATATAGAATTATTAATAATGAATACATACCATATTCATCTAGTTTTTTGATAAAACAATTTGTTGCTGCGAGTAAAGCATCAGGAATAATATTTTTATTTGACATTAACATTTCTAATGTTTGTACTTTTATTTCATTACTCTTCAAATCTGAACACACATTTTCAATTTCTGATATTAATTTATCATATTCATAATCTTCTTCTCTTAAAAATGTTTTCAATTTTTTAAGTAAATGTATATCACGCGCTCTTTTTCCATTTTTACTACTAAGAGCGAAATGAAATGGTACTGTAATTTCTTTCAATCCTCCAAGTGGATCCATAAAAACACACGAATATTGTGGCTTATTTTTGGATAAGTGTATATTATCATTCACACCAACAAGACCGTAATTGACATAGAGTAATCTGCAAATAAATAACATTTATTTGAACCAATAATTTTATGTCAGTTTCTAGTATAACAAAAAGAGAATATTATATTACTGACCGACCATGTTTACTAGCAGTAAATGTAGTAATTTTAGGACCTTGTTGAGTACTCCATATATCTATTACACCCTTTTTGGGAGCATAAATAACTAAAAAGAAAGCAGAACGCAGTTGCGGAGTTTGTTTAAATTTAGTAAATGCTTTATGCATTCCAGAATGTTTCTCCTCTTCCACTTCAATCCAACCACATTGTGCATCTCTATAACCTTTCCACATTCTTGTGGCTATGCAACATCTATTATCTACTAATAATACTCTACCCATTGCGTCTAATATTACTGATAATGCTTTATTTGGACTGGATATTATTGAGTAACCCTCTCTCATAACGTCACTTAATCCGAATCTACAAGTCATTGGTTCAACTGGTTCATGAGCAATAATTTTCGATGCTTCGAGTGATGCCTGATGTTTTGAATTTCCCCAATTAAGAGGAAGCCAACTAAACAGAAAGAATAAAATACTTTATGTATAAAAATAGAATACTATAATAATATGATATAGAATGATGATCTAATTTTCATTATGAAAAAATTACGTGACATTCAAGTGATGTATTTTAACTATAGCTCTCTTACAGGTGATGCATCCTTTTGACAATAAATGCATAACATGAATTTATTATGCAACACTCACGGAACAGCAGTTCCAATAGCATTTGCTAATTTGCTGGCCATTGCTATTGCAACATCTGATAGAACTGGAGCTGAACCACCTTCTAATGCATAATGAAAACCAACAAATGGTCGTTTACCAGTTGCAAGGACCAAATTATGCTGTGGTGCACTAGATCTGTAAGATGCATTATATCCACCACAAATTGAGGCTGTCATTAAATGATCAAAACTATTTACAGAAGTGCTACCAATTACTTCTGAATCATTTACAATATCTTGGCTTTTATAACCCCACTTCTTATATGATAAATTTGTAATAGGTGGTAGATCATCACAGTTTGCTTGAACTTCAAGTAAGAAACAATAAACATACTATTAGACATAGATGTTAAATTTCAATAAAATATTGCTATTATATTTTTAATTTATATACCTCTAGCTAAATGATTTCTACATGCTCTTAGTGTAGAAAACAAAGGAAAACCTTGTAATACACATATAACACTATTATATGTTACATAAACTTCTTCAGCCAAACCCGTATCACCTATGTGTTTAGGGGCACGAAAAGATTGACATTTTAATCCCACAACTGGTTCATTATGCAATTGTTCCCCTAATAATAATGCACCTGTCTAAATCAAAAATAAATATTAGTTTTAATATTAATTTTGATTACAATTTAATTTAACTGCTAGAGGTACATTTTATAAATCATTATCATATATCTAAATTTGACTTACTTCTGTGTAAAATCTAATAAAACCAGTATTAAAACCAACTATAATACATGTCCAATCTGGATTAGTGCCACTACTAGCTTTTCCCAATGACAATAATGGTAAACAAATGACAGACGTTATCCATTCACTAAAAAACACTTTCAATATATGGACATATTTTGGAAGGAATTAATAGTAGGAAAAAAAAATATAAAATTTAACTTAATTTAATAATATTACTAGAACAAAGACTTACTTATCTTCCTGGGCAACTTCACCATACCATATCATGTGAAATTTATTTTTTGCTTCATCTGGTTCTAACGAATCCCACCTTGCTAATATTAAATTATATTAATTATATTGTATTAATTATATGCTTTTAGATAAATTATGCATATATTACATAGTAAAAATATATTATTTAAAATTAAATTTGTAAACATACAAATTAATATAATCATCTTTGTATTATTTGCCATAGCAAGAACATCTCCAGCCGATGATAACGATATAAAACAGTCTTGTAATGGTAACTCATCTTTTGGAATGTCATCTAAAAAGTATAAATATTGGTAATTGATTGAAATTTATCATTTCTTTAAAAGACAAAGCAAAGACAAAGCGTAATAACTCACGTCTCCTAGTAATATCTCCGAAAAGTAACTCTTTGATATTACTTGTATTGGTTAGATTAGCAATTCCTTTTATCTGACAAGACATATCCAATCAATTATGTGAATATGCTTATTTTAAATAATTTTAAATTTTGATCACTGCAATATTGTAAATGCCGCTCAATTAATTAAACTATTAAAATTCTAATAGAAACACTTTGGACTAAGACAATAAATCACAAACTGTGATATGCTTGCAACTAGGATAGTAATCGCAGAGATTCTTCATCTAAGACTTCACATTTCATGGCGAATAAACATTCAAAGAAATATAATCGTTCTTATTACATTAATAATGCATTATGACTATCAAAAAATTGGAAATATGTAAACATTAACATAGATTATTAACTTTAGTTAAGAATCAAGATATAGATGCGCATTAGCTATTCATATGAAACGTTATTCATACGAAATTTTAAGTCAAAATGGAGAACACGTGTTGCATGACATCACGTGACGTAATTTGTGACGTTCAGAAACAGTCACTAGAGTTTTTCTGATTGGACAAAACAGATCGTTGGGACCAATGAAAATGTTCGTTTCTCCGCAATGGTCCGCGTAACGTGTTCAGCCATTTTGTTATTATTTTCGAAAATCTGTAGGTTGGATTTGAGGACAACGTAAAGCAGCCAGTTTTCTTGTTTCTCATTGAAAGTGGAGGGAAATAGTAGAAATTCTGTATGAGATTTAAGAAACAAAGTTACGACAAAGAACGGCCTCGGTGGGTATTGTACATTTATGAGTGGAGCTCTCTTCACTGACGATCGTCATAAACGAAGCAGAGGCAGGAGTGACGAGCGAGAGAACGTGCGAAAGATAGAGAGAGAGAAAGAGACGGTGAGGAACAGCGAGCTGTGAAACGAGGAACGAAATTGGTCGCGCGCGGGAATCAGCGGTTGTGTGTTTGGCCTTTTTCTGATTGTGATTTACTGCGAGAGATTGTGATTGCTCGTGTGAAACGTGTGTTTTTTACCTATGAATTGAGAATCTACGTGTGGGAGTTAATGCGGTATGTGCAAATGTCGTTTATGATACGTTATTCGTTGAACAACGACGCAATGAGTAAAGTGCACCCGGATAACAAAAATCTACAAATTCCAATGATCTGCTATTAATATTTTATATCTTTATTATCATTTACTTCTGTTGATTAAATGTATTAAGTGAAATATGTTTTACATTGGATTTATAAACATTACGCATAATAAATTTTCACATAACCTTATTTGCGATTGTCAAATGTAGGTTAGGTCGAGCGGTCGCAGTGCGGTGACCTCCCTCGCTACACGTTAACAATGATTTCCTTTTAATTCTCGCTTCTGTTTAGTTGCATTATTTATATTACATTTAATTTTTTTAATATTCTTAACTTGTTTATAAACAGAAATAATTGATTATTACATAGAAACAGAATAATATTACTTGATATTATAATCTTTTATAAGCTTCTAATACTCTTGTAAAATTGTAACAGTATATGAAAAACATTTTGATAAAAACAATGAAATAATATAAAAAATACAGCGTCTTTTTATATACATTGTTTATTAAAAGTAAATACTAACATTGTTTATGTTGTTAAACATATTTTTGAACTAAAATTATTTCATCATTGTACTGAGTTGTGCTTTCTAAACTATTCATTAATTTGTGGAATAAATTAGCCCTTTTTTGGAAATAATATTTTGTAACGTGTGTGTTTTATTAATTTATAAAATAGGTATTTAATTTTAATAAATCAAGTAATTATATCAAATGTAATTATTTACAGATAGAGTGTATGAGAATTGGATAATTTACAATAAATAATGGCAACATTAGCAGAACAAGCATCTAAGCTTTTGGATTTTAATCAAAAGCTGGATATAACACTTCTTGATAATATAGTAGGTTGTATGTACACTGGGATAGGCGAGCAACAGAGAGTTGCACAGGAAGTATTAACCACACTTAAAGAACATCCAAACGCATGGACCCGTGTAGATACTATTCTAGAATATTCACAGGTAAAGATTATTTTAACCAAAACTAATATCTCTTATATGCAAATAATTCTTTAATATAATCATTTGTATATAGAATCAACAGACAAAGTATTATGCTCTACAAATATTGGAACAAGTTATAAAGACACGATGGAAAGTATTACCAAGAAATCAGTGTGAAGGTATAAAAAAATATATTGTAGGCCTTATTATAAAGACAAGTAGTGATCCAGAAACAATGGAGGCTTCAAAAGTTTATCTTAATAAACTTAACATGATTTTAGTCCAGGTAAGTGATTGAAGTTAGAAGAATGCAAAAGTTATTTCATTTATTCATAAATTTCATTTTAATAAATTACACCTGTCACAGGTTTTAAAACGGGAATGGCCAAAAAATTGGGAGTCTTTCATTGGTGATATTGTTGGAGCAAGTAAAACAAACGAAAGTCTTTGTCAGAACAATATGGCAATTTTAAAATTATTATCAGAAGAAGTATTTGACTTTTCTAGTGGACAAATGACACAAACAAAAGCAAAACATTTAAAAGATACAATGTGTAGTGAATTCTCGCATATTTTTCACCTTTGTCAGTTTGTATTGGATAATTCACAAAATGTCCAATTGGTGGCAGTTACATTAGAAACTCTTTTAAGGTTTTTAAATTGGATTCCTCTGGGGTATATTTTTGAAACAAAATTAATAAGTACTTTAGTATTCAAGGTGAATATAATTCTCTAATTTTTGTTTTTTGTTCATTATTTTAAAATAACATTATATCTTTTCTTTTTTTTTGCAGTTCTTAAATGTACCAATATTCAGAAACATTACACTAAAATGTTTAACTGAAATTGCTGGTGTTACAGTAACAACATATGACGATGTATTTGTAATGTTGTTTGTTAACGTAATGCGACAGTTGGAACAGATCCTACCCCTTGATACAAATATACGTGAAGCATATGCAGCTGGTGGAGATCAAGAACAAAATTTTATTCAAAATTTAGCTATATTTCTTTGCACATACTTAAAAGAACATGGGCAGTTTATAGAAAAAAAACAATTGAATGAGTTGCTACTTAAAGCATTGCATTACCTTGTTTTAATTTCTGAGGTTGAAGAAGTCGAAATATTTAAGATTTGTTTGGAATATTGGAATGCATTAGCAATGGATTTATATAGAGCAAATCCTTTCGTTTCTCCAACGCCCTTATTCATGGTTAAAAATATGACTCTCCCATCTAGGAGATTATTCTATTGCCCGGTCTTAACTAAAGTACGGTATATTATGATTAGTAGAATGGCTAAACCAGAAGAAGTTCTTGTTGTAGAAAATGAAAATGGGGAAGTTGTTAGAGAATTTATGAAAGACACTGATTCTATTAATTTATATAAAAATATGAGAGAAACTCTTGTATATCTTACTCATCTTGACTACATGGATACTGAAAGAATAATGACAGAGAAACTGCAAAATCAAGTAAATGGAACGGAATGGTCTTGGAAAAACCTCAATGCGGTCAGTATGCTCAAAATGTTATATAAAATTCATAATAAAAATGTCATGGAATATAAAAATTTTAATTCTTTGATTAGTTATGCTGGGCAATAGGTAGCATTTCTGGTGCGATGCACGAGGAAGACGAGAAGCGATTTTTGGTAACTGTTATCAAAGATCTTCTTGGTCTTTGTGAACAAAAGAAAGGCAAGGATAATAAAGCTATTATTGCTAGTAATATTATGTATGTAGTTGGACAGTATCCAAGATTTCTGAGAGCGCATTGGAAATTTTTAAAGACTGTTGTAAATAAACTGTTTGAATTTATGCATGGTAAGGATATTACATCATATAATTATTGCATACAAATTCAATACAACATTATAAAAATATATTAAATAAAATATTCTTATAGAAACTCATGATGGTGTGCAAGATATGGCCTGCGATACATTCATAAAAATCGCATTGAAATGCAGGCGACATTTTGTTACGCCTCAAACGGGAGAATTGGTACCATTCATTGAAGAAATTCTTTCTACTATTAGTAGCATCATTTGTGACCTTCAAACCCAGCAGGTAAAATCATTGAAAACATATCTAATAACAATATACATTACACATATAAAATTTTTAATATATTACATAATATATATTATTATTATATGTATAATAAAAATTGATTATGTTTTTTGTGTTACGTTAGGTACATACATTTTATGAAGCAGTTGGGTATATGATATTTGCACAGACAGACACAGTAATGCAGGAAGAATTAATAGAGAGATATATGCTTTTACCAAATCAAGTATGGGATGACATAATAAGTCAAGCATCTAAAGTAAATATTAAAAAATCAAGAATAGAAGACTTTATAATTTTTTAAATTAGTTTTAACTGACGTAATAAAAATATTTTATTTCAGAATGTAGATGTATTAAAAGATCAAGAAGCTATAAAACAACTCGCTAGTATTTTGAAAACAAATGTACGGGCTTGTAAAGCTCTTGGTCATCCATACGTGATTCAATTAGGAAGAATATATTTAGATATGTTGAACGTTTATAAGGTATATTAATACTGTTCAACAATATATTGAATTGTTTTAATGATCATATTAACGTTTAATTGTTTTCTTCAGGTTATGAGTGAAAATATAAGTGCTGCAATAGCTTTGAATGGTGAAGTAGTAATGGAACAATCTCTAATTAAAAGTATGAGAGTAGTGAAAAAGGAAACCTTAAAATTGATCTCAGAATGGGTCAGCAGAACAACTGATCGTCAAATGGTAAAATTGTATTATTCTAAAAGTCATATTCTGTAAAGATTGTGAATACCTTCAAAATAATTTAATTTATTGTATATATTATAATCAGGTCTTAGATAGCTTTTTACCACCTTTATTGGATGCTGTTTTATTGGATTATCAGAAAACAAATGTTCATTGTGCACGTGAACCAGAGGTGCTAAGTGCTATAGCTATTATCGTAAATAAATTAGAATGTTACATTACGAATGAAATACCTAAAATATTTGATGCTGTGTTTGAATGTACTTTAGAAATGATAAATAAAGATTTTGAAGAATTCCCGGAACATAGAACGAATTTCTTTTTACTTTTACAGGTAATCATATATGTAATATTAATTATTTATAAATTGTTTCATTGTGTGATATAAATATATTGTAAACATTTTTATATTTTAGGAAGTGAATGTTTCTTGTTTCGGTGCATTTCTTATAATTCCACCAGCACAATTTAAGCTTGTACTTGATTCTATAATCTGGGCTTTCAAGCATACAATGAGAAATGTTGCAGATATAGGATTACAAATATTGTATCAACTTTTACAAAATATTGAAATTTCGGCGCCGGATGCTCAAAATTTCTATCAAACATATTTTACAGATATTCTTCAACACATATTCAGTGTAGTTACAGACTCATCGCATATAGCTGGTAAATACATATAAACAGTATTAATGTGCTTATTAAATTTTATTTTAATATGGTTAATTTCATTATTACTGTAATTATCTAGGCCTTAATATGCATGCTACTATTCTGGCATATATGTTTTCATTGGTTGAACTTGGGCGAATTAAAGTTCCATTAGGACCTGTACCAGATAACACATTGTATGTTCAAGAATTTGTTGCCAGATTGCTTAAAACAGCATTTCCACATTTAACTGATAATCAGATTAAAATAACTGTACAAGGTTTATTTAATCTTAATCAAGACATCCCAGCGTTCAAAGAACATCTTAGAGATTTCCTTGTTGAAATTAGAGTGAGTGTTACTACTTTAAATTTTCAGTATTTATATTCGTATAATGATGAAGTAAATAAATTTTTTTCTATAGGAATACACCGGGGAAGATGACTCAGATCTATATCTCGAAGAGAGAGAAACTGCATTACGATTGGCACAAGAAGAAAAAAGGTTACAACAAATGGCAGTACCAGGAATACTTAATCCTCACGAAATACCAGAGGAGATGCAGGACTGAATTACCAGTCTTACCAGTTACCTGCTTTCTGTACATCTCAATAAGAAACATTCTATATCCTTTGATCTGCGACTTTTCTTACGTGTACCACAATTACCACCAAGATGGATATACATTATATACTTTTTAAAGCCAAGTTTACAATATAACATTCTTGTTAAGGAGGTAAGCCCGAAACGCGGTGATTGTTTGTCTGTTATACAATTTTAAAAGAATTGAAACTTCTGTTATGAGTAACAGGTGAATGAATGCTGAACAATACTATTTTATGTAGTGGATAATATGGTATTTATACATTGATGTTCAGTAAAAAATATTGGTTATGATTACTGAACATTAATGTTACATTACATAATAATTTCTTTTTATATTTCTTCTATTGATATTACAAAAATTTTTAATAAAAATTTAATAAAATTTCTAATAAAATATTAACAATATTTGACACAAATAATTTTATTCTAATAGAAAGGTTCTAATAACATTTAATATTGGCGAATATATAATAAATAAAATCATTTTCTAAATTAAATTGAATTTGATATACGATATTTAGTTCATATAAAATAGTAGTGTTTCAGCAAATGTAGAGGATGTTACACGTACATGTGTGTGTTTGCATAAAGTTGTATGATAATGCTATTAATATTACCATATATAGATATATAGGTACATAGTATATAAATATATATGATCTGCAAGTCATACAGAGAAATTTTGTAAATTAAAAACTACATGTCATATATAGCATTTGTTTAAATTTTACTTTTCTGATAATCCCTATATATTCATCAACAATAAATTTGTTCAGGATAAGACAATTTATTTTTATTGTATTTAACTACTATAGGTAAATTATATATATATATATATATATATATAT